ATGGGGGGTCTTGCATTGGGTTCTGCCTTCGATTCCAAATCTGGGCAGATAATAATGGCTGCTTTGCTTTTGATGATTGTGTCCTTCTATATTGGCACGCTTTTTGGCAACAATGCTCCCCTTTACGTCTCTCAGCTTGATTCTCATTCTCCTTCTTCTTTTCCCAACAATGTCTCCTCTAATGGTAACCTCTTCAGCTCAACTCAGCTACAAAAATCGCTTTTCCATTGCTTCTTCTAAAGCCATATTGCCAAATTTTTAAGCTTTTCTATCTGGGTTTCTCTTGAACTTCCATTAATTTCATATATCGGTTTTCTTTAAAATGCTTATTTTTGGAAATTCCCAGATTTATAGTAAGTTTTCAGTTTATTAATGTTGGAGCATATCTTTATAGTTATACTCTAGTGAATGAGTGTTAAACCGCAGTGTGTTAGTTTTACATAGAATCATTTCGGTACTATCGGATCCAAGTGGGTCCTCTACAAATGGTTTGCGTTAAATGGGTGTATGAATTGAATGTACATTCGGCTTGATTGAGTTGCTTGAAGGTTTTGATTACAATTTTGTGGGGGATATCACTTGGTGTCGGTGGCTTATTTGGAAACTTTTGTTAAGGTTAAATCCCTAATGTTTCATAGTGCTGCTTTGAGAAAGATCACTGAATGTTCTTAACTCTTGCAGGTACTGCTAAATTCAGTAACAAAGTTGCTCTGACTTACCGGAAAACCCCTCTTGTAATTCCAGAAACAGGGGTGGATGTGTGCCCTTTGACGTTCAATGAGTATATTCCCTGCCATGATGTTTCCTATGTGGAAACTCTGGCCCCAAGTCTTGATTTTTCTAGAAAAGAAGAACTGGAGAGACACTGTCCTCCTCTTGAAAAGCGCTTATTCTGCTTGGCTCCTCCGCCAAAAGATTATAAAATACCTATCAAGTGGCCTCTTAGCAGGGATTACGTTTGGCGAAGCAATGTGAATCATACACATCTTGCAGAAGTCAAAGGAGGCCAAAACTGGGTCCATGAGAAGGATCAGCTCTGGTGGTTTCCTGGCGGTGGTACCCATTTCAAGCATGGGGCCTCTGAGTACATAGAGAGGTAGCTGCCACTGACTTATTTTAAGTTCCTTATGTTCTTTCACTAAGAACCATCATGCTGATTGTAGGAATGTTATTATGATGATTTTGTGGTTACATGGTCGACTATTGTGATGATTTTATTTTTCTTCCACTATAGCAAATCCGTGTGAGTAATTTTTTAAATCAGATCGAGGATGACTATGTGAAGAGTACATAACGATACATGTATTGTAATTTGATAAATTTCAAATTTATCTTAATACTATTGTGAAATATTTGACCTTATATTGAGTATGTGGAGAGAACAAGTAAAATATGATGTATTAATCTATAATAAAAAAAATTCTCAACGTCAATATCTATCTCATTTTGTTACTGATGAATGTAGTGCTGTAATTTACAAAGAATTCTCATTTTTAACCCTTTGAAGTTCAGAAGATGATCTATCACGAATACCATGAACTTCTGTCCTTGTGGTTGTGAATTCTGATAAACAAATTTCTTCTAGGCTGAAATTCTGAGACTTGTGAAAGAAATGACATTATAATTTTGTAGTAGTGGACTGTAATTCCTGGATTGAATGTCCCAACGAGGATGTGATCACTTCTGGAATGTTGTCATAGGAGTCAATGGAATGACTAATGCTTTCAAGAAAAAACTTTCGGGCTTATGATCTTATATTTCAGATGATACCACAAATTAGTCTATGATATGCAAATTGCAACATATTTTCAAGCTGTAGACTTGTTAGAACTTGTGGTTCATTTGGTGTTAATGAAACCGGCAAAAACCAAATTCCTAGAAAGTAGATTTATACTTAAATCAATCCTACAAAAAAATGGTTTGTTAAGTGAAGTTTGCATAAAGTTATTACTTTATTTTGGTTATATCATATGGTTATATCCTAGACAATGTGAGGCCTCCAATATACCTTTTCATACTTAGAATTAGGCATCTTAAGCTTGAGACTAAATATTTATGGATGATTCTATAGTAGTCTAATAGTGGGTGACATGATAAGTCCAACAAATCTCATTAATATAGACTTTGATACTATCTTAGAAAATGGATTTAGGTCTAATTCAACTTTATAAAATCAGCTTATAAAATGATATTTTAATTCAATCATATGCCTCCTAGGTCATTTGTCTTATCATGTCCCTCCTAGGTTATTTGATCTTTGGGGAGAGATTAGGTTAGGGTTTGACCAATTTTAATTAACCTAATTAATACACTATACTGCTTAGTTATGAGTCAGCATTTCTTAATTTATTTCAAACTATTTAGTACAAAATTTGGCTAATTAAAGTTCTCTACTTTTATGCTAATTATGGTTTTGCCATTAAGGACTTAACTGTAGTCAATAGAAAGGTAAATTTTGCAGATGGGTTTCTTTGCTCAGGGTTAACTAATTAGTCATGGAGCCACTAATCATGGTTAATCTGTATTATTCTCTACCTCAAGATTTTGGGATGTTACATGTCCTCCACTAAATATTAATACATCATTTCTAAATTACTGAATCTCTCGTCCAAGCTAGGACTCACAACACTCCTTTTGAGCCTCGTCCTTGGAACTTTAGTCTGTCTGTTGTGTCCCTCGGCCTCTTCACTAGCAACTTCAGATTCAGAGGATTGGGCCTTATCAGTTGTAAGATAATATTCATGATTTTTGTTGAAAGAATTACTGACAACAAGTTACAGAGGATGGTATGACTCTGGTACCCTGTAGGAGAGAAACCAAGAAGGAATATACTGTTTCCTGTGTATACACGACTAATCTTATCTATACAGAGTGAATAAGAGATGCAACAATAAGGAACAAAGTATTTCCCTAGCATATCATATCATATCATATCATATCTCTAGCATCATCAAGTCATCTCTAACAATTCTAATATTTATATTAAATTTTAGTAATTTTCACTACCTATGGTTTAATTATGTTAGTTGATGCTCCAAAATAAATGAACATGAGTGGTTGTATACTGTGAGTAGTTCAACAGTTTTCTGATGATAATTTTTGCAACCTTTTTCTGGAACTTATTCACTGAAGTTGGTGCTCCTGTGGAAACTTTTCTAGCTGAAAAGTGCATGACATAGTTGTTATACGTTTAATTTTTATGAATGCAGGCTAGGACATATGATTACCAATGAGACTGGTGATCTGCGTTCTGCTGGGGTAGTTCAAGTTCTGGATGTGGGCTGCGGTGTGGCTAGTTTTTCAGCATATCTTCTTCCATTGGATATACGAACAATGTCCTTTGCCCCCAAGGATGGTCATGAAAACCAAATTCAATTTGCATTAGAACGAGGGATTGGTGCAATGATCGCTGCCATGTCCACAAAACAATTACCGTATCCTAGTGAGTCATTTGAAATGATTCACTGTTCACGGTGCAGAATAGACTTTCATGAAAATGGTAAGCTGCTTTTGTTATTTATGATTTTACCTTTAATTCTGCAGATGATACAATAAATGAAAGTATATGCAATGTGTTGTTTCCTATACTCCAATGTGAGTTCTATAGCCTTATTCACAATCCTTCTACATGATCTGCATCTTACCAATAGCATATATGGAGTGAGGTGTATGTATAAAGACGTTTCAATTTTTCAGTGGGTAAAGGATTTGCAAGTATTAATAAGTGAGAGGCTAGAATGAGATTTCATTCGGTAGGTTTGCTCCCCGTTCTACAGAGTGGAGTCATCATAAAATAAGGAAAGTACAGTCCTACACGATTAAGAAAGTTGGTTCCTTCAATAACATACGGAAAGTGGGATTTTGTATTTAGTTGATTCTGAAAATGTGTGAATCCATTTAGTGTGTCTGGAAACAATTTAAGAATGCAGTTTTCCAAGTCCAATAAAAAATTGAATAAGCAACTATCAACTTCTGTCAAGATGTGGCTTTTCAAGTTAAACATCTCATTTAAATTGTTTTCAAACATCTATATGTATAGACTATTAAAAGACTTACCCAATGTTCTTATAAATTGGTATTGAAGTTTGCTGCAAGTGTCTCAATAAAGAGCTAACTATGAAGGGGCTGAGACAAGTGGTCTGGATGTTGATTCTTAGAGGAAGTATTATGATAAGGACTTAGGTGTGATGGGGTGCCTAAATCTATCATAATCATTGACATTGTCCTCACTTTTATTGAAGGTGATGAAATTTTGCCCTATTAGACCTATCCAATACTTTTTGTTATGAATTTAAAGTGGTTAACTTATAGAATACTTATAAGTACCCAAGCACTTGGGGAACCCACCCCTCAAAAGCCAGTTTTCAATAAGGTGAAACTAAACATTTAAATACTCCATTGAGCACCCCATACTATTTATGTGGGACTTAAGCACTCTATAATATCCAATCCCCTATCAACCACTACCCTCTAGCCAAATATCTTGTACTATTATGTAGGACTTTGACATCCGTAATACCCAAGTTCTTGTCAAATTTATCCATTTAATACTTCTCAAAACTACGTAAGTTGGTGAGGTTAGCGTTATTTGAATAGACTTTGTCCAATTTAGAGGAAGAGAAATAGAGAGGGAGATAGGATGGAATTTCTGAAGTGAAAAGGATGAACTGCACAATAATTACGTTTTGTGAAACATTTGCATCATAGTCTCTTCATAGACTAGGTGAGATGGGAACTATTTCATTGATAGAGTGAGTGATATATCCTAAACAATAATTCGTGTGGAAACTGAGTGCAATTAATGTTTGATGCGTGAGCTAATTTATCCAATGATTCATGAGGTGCGTATTATTCTGACTGACATTTTTTTTTTTGCTGTGAATCTTCTGCAGATGGGATTTTACTCAATGAATTGAACCGTCTTCTTCGCTTTAATGGGTACTTTGTTTATTCAGCTCCCCCGGCTTATAAAACAGATAAAGATTATCCTGTCATTTGGGATAAATTGATGAATTTGACTACAGCCATGTGTTGGAGACTTATTGCTCGAAAAGTCCAAACTGCAATATGGATTAAAGAAAATAACGAGTCATGCCTTTTGCACAATGCAGAGCAAAAGCTTATAAACATCTGTGACCCTGCTGATGATTCCAAACCTTCATGGAATATCCAGCTTAAGAATTGTGTAGAAGTGAGAAATTCTAAAACAGATTCTTACAAGCTTCCTCCAAGTCATGAGCGCCATTCAGTGTTTTCTAACAACCTTAACATGATAGGTCTGTCCACTCTCTTTTGTACATGTGCAAGACTCTACTTTCTGGTTTCCATATTTAACATCTTCCTTAATCTTAAATTATACTTTCCTAACCTTTCTACTGGTGATTCCTTGTTTGTCTGCCTGTCCATGTCTCTGTCTCTCTCTTATACACACATGCATGTGCACTTTGAGGGCGTAGATATTTTGGTCAGAGAATTTTAATCAAATGACCTTATATGAAGGTCCTGCTTATTTCATGGTTTCAGTGTTTATGCTTCTTGATGCATATGATTTATTATCATCAAAAACGCATTTCCAAATGGCTATTAGACAATATTCAGTCTTAGAAATGCATAATCTGCAGCATAGCAGAAATTAGCTTTATTTGTTGCGTCATGAAAACTTGATCGGTTATACTTTTTTAATGTTAGTTTTTTGCAAGCTGGGAATAGTTCTGTTCTGAAACTTCAAGTTCATGGGAACATAATTAACTTGCATCGATTATAAAAAGAAAAGAAAAAGAAAAATAGATTTGAGGTGTAGGATCAACTAACAAGGAGTTCATGTTACTTTTTTTGGAATAAATTTATTATATTATCAAACAGACATATAGTTGAGCATTTTCCCAAATTATCTATATATGAAAGTATTCTTGTAATCATCAATGTAAATATTAACAACATAATAATGTTGCGGAAAACCTCTGGTCTGTGTCCACTGTATTTGAATGGGATAGTTAATATGTTTGAAATAAAAGGATCAATATTCTTTTACCATTCAAATGGAAATTGTATGTTAAAACAGCATTGCTATGATGCACTCAATAGCCTCTTTCAGTCTGATATCCCTTGAACCTTTTGAACAACAGGTATAAATCTGAATGAATTTACTTCAGATACTCTCTTCTGGCAAGAACAAATTGGTCATTACTGGAGACTGATGAATGTCAAGGAGACAGAAATTCGCAATGTGATGGATATGAATGCCTATTGTGGCGGATTTGCTGTTGCACTAAATAGCTTTCCTGTTTGGGTAATGAATGTAGTTCCTGCAAGTATGAAGAACACCTTATCTGGAATTTATGACCGAGGATTGATCGGAACTTTTCATGATTGGTAAGACTTTGCTATTGATATCCCAAATAGCAAATGCTATGTTAACACCTGTGTTTAGACATTATTAGTTGACTGCAGCTAACATGGATTCTGAAACATTAGGTGTGAACCATTTTCAAGTTACCCTCGGACATATGATCTTTTGCATGCCAATTATCTCTTCTCCCACTACAAAACAAAAGGGGAAGGTTGTTTATTGGAGGACATCATGCTGGAGATGGATCGTCTTATACGGCCACTGGTAATCACATTTATTAACTGTCATCTTTCATGGTTGTATGCATGTATGAAGACCAAATTAAAAATTCATGCAATGCATTAGTTTTGGTCAAATCTGATTTAGTACATATACTAGTGTACAAAATGTGTTTTTAAGTGTTAGTAGTTCCACATTAAGTATAATAAGCTACTTGATATAGTAATACTTTAGGGAACAGAGATATTGACACCCAAATCCTCTTTACAACTTCAAATTTTTAATTGAAAAAAATTATTGTGGTACTTTCTCTCTATTCACAACTCATTGTTATTAAGTTTGAGCAAAATATCCAAATTGTCTTATTCAATCCATATTACTTTAAGTCTATTTAAATGGATTTACTCAAATCCAAATCCATATTTTTGGATTTTAAGTCCAATTCATTTAAATTGGATTTGGTTTAGATATTGGATACTTTTTTAGATTTTGAAAATCCAAAATCAAGGTACATTTAGGTCATTTCCTGTTATGAAATGCTAGGTTGGACCAAACCCAAATTAGGTAGTACCGGGTCGAGCTCATGCAAGGTCAGACCCAATGGCTTGAGTCATAGTCAAGCTAAGTTGACCCGAGCCTAGGTCGGGTTGAGTCGGCCTAGGTCCAAGTAGAATTTAGTCGACTTGGGTCTATGTTGAGATGAGTTGTTGAACCAAGCTTGTACGAGTCCACTTTCAGTCAAGTCTGAGCATGTCCATGTTAATCCTAGTCGCGACCGACTCACGTTCAGTTGAGTTGGGCTGGTTGGGCTAGGTATAGGTCAATCTTAGTTCGATTAAGACCAAGTCACTCCTAGCTTGATCAAGACCAGGTTGACTTAGGCCTAAGTCAAGTTGAGTTAGCACGGGCTCAAGTCAAGCTGCCTCATTCTGGGCCCAAGTCAAGTTGTTTTGGATCAAAGTTAAATTGAGTCAAGTTGAACCTAAGTCGAGTTGAGTGTTCAAACTCTGATTGAGTTGAGTTGTCACGGACTAAGGTTGAGCTGAGTCAATTGGGTCCAAGTTAATTGAGTCCAATCATGATAAGGTTAGCAGTAGCCCAAATCGATCTAAGTCCGATAGGATAAGGCTCGTGATCAACTGATACATCACTGCACTAGAATAAATTAATTTATGTCCATACTTTCATTTACTTTTATTCCTAATTACTCAGTGCTACTTATTATATGCAGGGATTTGTTATCATTAGGGATGAAGAAGACATTACCTCAAGAATCCAAGAGGTAGCCCCAAAATTCCTGTGGGATGTGGAATCAAAATTGTTAGAGAACAAAGAAAAGAAAATGGAAACTGTTCTAATTTGTAGAAAAAAGTTTTGGGCAATCGACTAAAGTCACTTGATTTAGAAGTGTTTTCCCACATAGAAAAGGTTCTTATAAAGCATACGGGTAATTTGTAATGTTAATTTGCTCACTGCTCCAATGCTCCCACGACCATGTTGTGTAGATGTTTAGAGAGCACTCATTTTGTATATGTTTTTGCTTTCAGCTTAGCAATTATGAATAGAAAGTAGTTGTTTTCCTTATTCTTGTTAATCTAATTTATGTTGTCTATTCTGTTATCTGGGCTTGAATATCAGAAATAAACACAACATATTCATCTTAGGTTGTTTTATGGCCTAATTATTTTATTTATTTATTTTGGTGATGCATTGGCTCTTACATTAGTAGTGTTTTGAAGAATGTTAAGAAATTGTAATTGGGAACTGCTACTCTATCCATACCCCTTTATTGTAAAATGAAGCATGAAGAAGAGTTATCATATCAGATTCATCTTTTATTTTAGTTGCATGTAACATTTACTTAATTTCATTGTAATTGTTTTTTTTGCTTTTAATTATGAGAAACTTAGGCTGTCTTTCCAATCGAACGATTTCGTTGTTATGATATATGAGAGTTTTAATCTAGTTAAACTAAAGTCACAATTTGAGTGAGTTCATTCACCATAAACATTGAACATGTTATGGCATAACGTCTACCTGTGGTTGTTTTTATCATAGATTGAGTTAAAAATGAGTAAGTTTAACCTAATTCCATCCTACATTGTCATCTCTATTTGAAATATATATTTTCGAAATTGAAATGTCATCCCTGTTTGAAATATATATTTTCAATATTAAATTGTGCAAATTAAAATGTATATTTTTAGGAAAATACATTTTAGATTGTTTTTACATTTTCAAATACGCAGTTCAAAAATCCATTATAGGTTCGATAATTTAGAATAATTTTTTGCAATTTTTTATTATGTTTTTCAAATTATAATAATCGATAATATATTTTTAGATAATGTAATTTGAAAATAACTTTTAAATTACGTAATCTTTATGCATTTCTGGATTCTCTAGTTATGGAAATTGAAATGTATTTTTAAGACTATATTTCTATATTTTTGAATCAGTGTTAAGAAAATATTTCTATATTTCACAATTTAGAAATATATTTCAGACTGTATAATTGAAAAACGTTTCAAACTTGTGTAAATCAAATCAGAATATGCTTTTGAATTCTAAAATACGTGTTTTTGAATGATTGTAAAATAATACGTTTTCAAATTGTTGAATCTAAAATACACTTTTAAATTTGAAATTGCATAATTTGAGATTCATTTCTGTATTATACAATCTGAAATGCTATTAATTGAAGAATAATAAAAAGTTTTCACATGTAAGAATGTAGGAATAAGATATGAAGATGCTAAAAGAAATCCCTTTCACTTATATATCTCAGGGTGTTGCTCCTTCCACCACCACACCTTTCTTCTTCCACCTCCCATTTACTATTTTGCCCCTAAGTAAAATTTTATTTTTAGGATTATTTTTTAATTTTATCCATTCACAACCTATTCCACTAATAACCTATTCTAGTGTCCCCGTACATGAGTAAAATATTTTTCTTTCATTTTAACATTATATTTCTTCCTCTCTTTCTTTTACAAGTTGCAAAAGTTGGTGGTGGTGGAAAGAATTATCAAACAGTCTCTCTCTCGTGCTGCAGTGTCGCTCTCGTAGTGCAGTATGTGGAGTGGTGCAGTGTGTGTTGCTTCCTCAAGGTGCGTATTCAAATAAACCTTCAAATAAAAACCTAAAATAAAAAACATAACATTTAAGACATCCTTCAACGGATGTCAACATCCGTTTAAGGTACAACAGATGTCGACATCCGTTTTTCCTTAAACGGATGTTGACATCCGTTGACATCGGTTGAAGGATGTCACCTCCGTTTAAAAGTTACGTTTTTATTTTAGGGTTTCTTTTATTAGTTTATTCTTTATTTTGGAAATATTTTAATAATTTAATTTAAATGTTTTGATTTATTATTTTTGAATATATTTTTAATGTATTTTAATAATGTAAAGAAAATGAAGAAGAAAGAAACGGAGGAG